AACCCAATCAATACTATGGCTGAAAATACACCGGAATTAGTTCTCAAATGCATATAACCTCTTTACTAACAACGCATATCAGTCTTTACTGTGAGAAATTGTAATGCCATAGGTAGTAAAATTCTTAGTTAAAAGAAACAGGTTAAAGATACCACACAGAAAAATTTAACACCAAACTAGCGTTATATCAATAAATTCAATTGTCACAAATTGACCCCAACTGAGAACTAAACCTCTTTCTAGTTATTTCACAATTAAGGTCACTAGCAAAGAAAAAAATAATAACATACACATATAAAAAATTCATATAACACTCAACTCGGGTTATATAATAAATTTCAAAAGTTAGAAAAATACTTCAAGTGAGAATCTGAACACTTTCTAATGACATAACACCAATATTTCCAATAAATGCCACAGCTACAAATAAAAAAATTGGATTACATAACCTTTGTACATATGACACTTCTGGTGACACTCAGAGATGAACACTGGTCATCACTCTCTTAACATGGCAGATGTATACTGCCCACTCATTGTCTGTTAATATTTAATACACTGGTCACAAAATAAAAAATTACACAAATGTGCAATTACCACTTTTCTGAAATTTCACACAATAAAAACCCAAAAAGATTAGTCAGGTAGGTTACTAAAAAAAATTGGTGCATTTCCGAACTCTTGTGACAAAAAAAAATTATCACTTTCTTTCACAAAAAAAATGTGTAACTGAATCAATTATTACTTCTTACTAAACTCTTTATAAAATTGCTAAAGGCTTGAGATGCACATTTGACTGATGTTGAATCTCTTCGTCGATGTTCGTGGTGGTGGACAGGTGGGAACCGAGATACCGGAAGTGGGTAACATTAGAGAGGGTAGTACCGTTAAGATGGATGGATGGTGGAGGTGTGGCTGAACCAGGGGCAGGCTGAAAGAGAATCTTAGTCTTATGTACATTCACCTCATGGCCAAGTTGTTCATACGCATCTGTGTAGGTGTTCAGGATCTCCTGTAGGTCGTGTTCAGTGTGAGCGACAAAGGTGAAGTCGTCTATATACTGAAGTTCAGTAATGGAAGCTGCCGACACCTTTATTTCTGTCTGGAGTCGTTTTATGTTGAAAAGACCTTTCACCCGATACTCGATCTCCACCCCGCCGGCTAAATTGGCACTGGCACGAGTATGGAAGGCGGCCAAGAAAATGGAAAAGAGATTTGGTGCCAGTACACCCCCTTGTTTAACTTCCGTTTGGATAAGGAAGAACTGAGACTGGGTGTCATTGTGCAGGACACTGCCGTTCATGCCATCGACAAACACACACGCACACACCGCCGACTCAAGTCCCTCGAAGTTCCTGCCCCCAAGCTCCTCAGTGTTTACTCAACATTCATACTTCCCAAGCTCACCTATGCTTCCCCTACCTGGTCTTCCTCCCTAAATGCCACACAACGTAAACACCGAGAAAAAGTGCAAAAGAGGGCATACAAGATTATTCTCTCCCCTTCCTACTCCACATGTCAAGAAGCGCTCAACACACTGACCCTCTCGGCTCTCATTGACCATCACCACGACCTCATCTGCAAATTTAGTGAGAAGCTTCTGCACCATCCACTACACCGGCTCCTACTACCACCCGAGATCCCTCGTCCGAGAATTGCTGTTCTATACCAAAACCGCATCCAGCCCATACGAGCACGAACTGGTCGCGATAAGAACAGCCCAGTCCCTAGCATTGTAAAAATTATCAATAACTTGTAATCAACCAGTGTATTCACTCCCAGTCAATCTTACTTTTTGCACTGTCACTATGTTGAAATGCCCTGAAGTTTGAGCTTCTCCCCACCTAGTTATTATATATCATATTTGCATCACTTAGGTTACTTATATATTATTTGTAAATCAAGAGACCCATTCCCCAATTATGTAACTTTATATTTTCAGCCTTCCGACTGCCATGCTCTTTCAATAAACTGTTAATTAATATTATTATTATCACACACACACACACACACACACAGCGGCAGTAGGCAGCTACCAAACAGGGAGGTACTACCGCCTGGGAAGATATTGGAAGCATAATGTGTTGTCTAATGGTAGACCCTGCTGCCATATGGCATCACGAAACTTGTGACCAAGTCCCAGGTTGTTGATCTGACTTTCTGTCTCATTTACACACAATTGCAGGGTCTCAATTGTTTCTCTTACTATTGACAACACAACATACATATATTGTTTCTCACTTATGATCTTTTTTTTCGTTTCTGTATTTCTTTATTTATTTATTATTATTATTATTATTATTATTATTATTATTATTATTATTATTATTATTATTATTATTATTATTATTATTATTATTATTATTATTATTATTATTATTATTATTATAACTTTATTATTTTATTTTCAATTTTGTATATTTTATTATAAATTTTATTTACTATGAATCATCATCTTTACATTTTCGCCCCCCAGGCTAATCCCCGTAAAAACACACTGGTCCGAGTGTTTGGCCCTGTCCTTCTCCACCCCACTTCCCCCTCCACTTCCCCTACCTCACTTCACCGGAATTTACCAGCAAAACATTCCAGTGATCACTACAAGGATTGGTTATCAAACAGTGATCTAATAGTGTATTCCAAGGTAAAAACAGGTGTGCTTCGTAATAACCGCCATTAGATAAAAAAAAATCGCAAGACGTCAGTGGCTGTCGCCTTCATTAACTTCACCTAGGCATTTGACTTAGTCGACCACAATTTAATAATCAACAAAGCCATCGACCTCAGGTTTCGGAGAAGTCCTATATCATGACTTATAGACTTCCTTAGTGACCGACGCCACGTCATACGCTTCCAAGGAGCTGTCTCCACCTTTCAGTCACTCACCAGCGGCGTCCTCTAAGGCGCCAATATGGGACCGCTCTGTTTCCTCATATTTATCAATGATGCCTTGAGAAAAAGTCTTGCTCGTTGGAAATATGTCGACGACTCCACCATTAGAACCAGTATGAATATCTTGGCTTTCGACTACAGCACCTTCCAGAATATATTGAACAATCTCCAAAATTGGGGCACCAATAACTATGTCACCATCGACCATACCAAGACCTTGTCCCACCCCTTTCCATTACTTTTTGGCTCCAACACATTCCAGGTTGTGGACGCCGTCAAGCTCCTCGGCGTCACTATAGATAACAAACTAAATTGGAAAGCACACGTCAGTGCAATTGTCAAATCTCCCAATTTTTATCTCCACCTCCTCTGTCGTCTCAAGTCCCTCGAAGTTCCCGTGCCCGAGGTCCTCAGTGCTTACTCAACATTGCACCTTCCCAAGCTCACCTATGCTTCCACTGCCTGGTCTTCCTCTCTAAATGCAATGCAACGGAAACACCTAGAGTAAGTGCAGAAGAAGGCGTGCAAGATTATTCTCTCCCCTTACTACTCCACATATCAAGAAGCGCTCGGCACACTAACTCACTCGGTTCTCTCTGATCATCACCACGACCTCATCTGCAAATTTAGTGAGAAGCTTCTGCACCATCCTCGACACCGTCTCCTGTTTCCACCCGAGATCCCTCGTACGCGAATTGCTATTTAACACAACAACCGCATGTAGCTCATACGGTGGAGGTTCCCGGCAGCTCAACAGCAAAGACCACTTACGACCATCCCTCTTGTCTCTGTTTCAGTGGTGGCACGTTGTTCATACCCTGAGTAATTACACAATATTATCCCCGGTGGACACTGTACACTACACACGTGGGAAGTTTAGCGTTATGTTACATTACCTTGTTATGTCAGAGGCCTGCAGTTCCCTAGTGTACTCGTATTAGAGTAACATGCATCTTCATTTATCACCGCCACAGTATATTGTTTACACATGAAGACAAAATACCTTTGGACCAGAGAACACTGAACTCACCCTCTACCAGAATATAAGTCTACCTCTGGTTGTTTCACTCTGCTTTGTAATCAACATCGCTTTTCGAAATTTTGCCACCAGCATATTGGAAATAATAGTAGAAGTTGTGAATATGTGTACAAGTAGACGCAGCCAAGTATCCTGCTCCTGGATTATTACAGGATTCTACAAAGGCCACTGGCATCCTTCCATCGGCATGGCCACCTTTAGTGAGTAGCCATTAGGTGAATAAAATAGTATAAGGTAAAAAAATTATAGTACGGAAAGTAATTGTTATGACTGTCAGAATATAAGGAACAACATATCCAAAGTTTCTCAGTTTCTCGCGTGTGTTCCCATCGCGGGTAGGTGTGATGTGTAACTCATGTTTACGTCTTTTGAATAAAAAAAAATAGTCTCGTCTTCATAAAATGAAAACATTTGACTTTGTTATATTTTATAGATATTCAAAGATTTACTGATACTACCATAAACAATTATTAGTTACCGTACCATCAAATACATGTTTATGGGTGAAAAGTTTCTACTGAAACTTATGGTGTGAATCTTGATTTTCTTCCTGTGTTTGACTTAATGCCACATAAATTCTGACGCTGAAATCCGTGCTATTATTATTACATGTTATAACCAAGTAGTTCTTATAAAACACACGCCCTAGTACGCCTTCCCACACCTCACTCTACACTTACACCTGACAATATACATAAGTATTTTGGGCCCTTAGCTGGTGCATGACACTGGCTGGTGCATGATGGAGAGTTTTCAGTTAGCTAGATGTATCTTTATAAAGCCTACTTATGTTGTATCAGTTATGTAGGTCCATATGTATATTGTATAAGCTATGTATGTGCTGCTGCCAATACTTGGTATTATATTGTCCAACACCTGGCAAACTACCGCACCATCCAAACTACCGTGAGGGTAGTAAACCATATCAACATGGGTAGGTCTGGCGGCTCTCCCGGCAGCCTTACCAGTCTGTCCATACAGAGCACACGTCTGCCCCGTGCTCTTGCCTCTGTACTGATACCCCTTCAGTACACTCCAGTGAACTAATTGTCTTATTACTCATCAACTCCTATAACATGACACTGGCTGGTGCATGACACTGGCTGGTGCATGGCACTGGCTGGTACATGATACTGGCTGGTACATGACACTGGCTGGTGCATGACACTGGCTGGTGCATGGCACTGGCTGGTACATGATACTGGCTAGTACATGACACTGGCTGGTGCATGACACTGGCTGGCATGGGTATTGGCTGGTGCATGACACTGGCTGGTGCATGACATTGGCTGATGCATGACACTGGCTGATGCATGACGCTGGCTGGGTGCATGACACTGGCTGGTGCATGACACTGGCTGGTGCATGACACTGGCTGGTGCATGGCATTGGCTGATGCATGACACTGGCTGATGCATGACAATGGCTGGCATGACACTGGCTGGTGCATGACACTGGCTGGCATGACACTGGCTGGTGCATGGCATTGGCTGATGCATGACACTGGCTGATGCATGACAATGCCTGCAGACACGCTGGTGCGACACTGGCTGGTGCATGACATTGGCTGATGCATGACACTGGCTGATGCATGACGCTGGCTGGTGCATGACACTGGCTGGTGCATGACACTGGCTGGTGCATGACACTGGCTGGTGCATGGCATTGGCTGATGCATGACACTGGCTGATGCATGACAATGGCTGGTGCATGACACTGGCTGGTATGACACTGGCTGGTGCATGACACTGGCTGGTGCATGCATTGGCTGATGCATGACACTGGCTGATGCATGACAATGGCTGGCATGACACTGGTGGGGCGACACTGGCTGGCATAGCATTGGCTGGTGCATAGCATTGGCTGGTGCATGGCACTGGCTGGTGCCTAACACTGGCTGGTGCATGACACTGGCTGGTGCAGACTGGCTGGTGCTTAACACTGGCTGGTGCATGACACTGGCTGGTGCATGACACTGGCTGGTGCGGCACTGGTGCCTAACACTGGCTGGTGCATGACACTGGCTGGTGCATGGCACTGGCTGATGCATGACACTGGCTGGTGCCTAACACTGGCTGGTGCATGACACTGGCTGGTGCCTAACACTGGCTGGTGCATGACACTGGCTGGTACGGCACTGGCTGGTGCATGGCACTGGCTGGTGCCTAACACTGGCTGGTGCATGACACTGGCTGGTGCATGGCACTGGCTGATGCATGACACTGGCTGGTGCCTAACACTGGCTGGTGCATGACACTGGCTGGTGCATGACACTGGCTGGTGCATGGCACTGGCTGGTGCATGACACTGGCTGGTGCATGGTATTCGCTGATGCAGGACACTGGCTGATGCAAGACACTGGCAGCTCAGTCAGTAAAAGGAAACTGTGCCTCATCCATGCTTGGACCTGCAAATATACTATGTATTACTGTAGAGGAGGAGCGGCAATAGCACTGTAGAGGAGGAGCGGCACTAGTACTGTGGAGGAGGAGCGGCACTAGTACTGTGGAGGAGGGAGCAGCACTAGTACTGTAGAGGAGGAGCAGCACTAGTACTGTGGAGGAGCAGCACTAGTACTGTGGGGAGGAGCAGCACTAGTACTGTAGATGAGGAGCAGCATAGTACTGTGGAGGAGGAGCGGCACTAATTGCACTGTGGGGGAGGAGTGGCACTTGTGCTGTGGGGGAGGAGCGGCACCTGAACAGTGCTGTGGAGGAGCGGCACGAGTGCTGTGGAGGAGGAGCGGCACTAGTGCTGTGGGGAGGGTGGCACTGGTACTGTCAGAGGAGGGCAACTGTGTTGTGGAGGAGGAGCGGCACTAGTGCTGTAGAGAGGGCAGTACTAATTGCTGTGGGGAGGAGCAGCACTAGTGCTGTAGAGGAAGGGCAGCACTAGTGCTGTGGGGAGGGGCAGCACTAGTGCTGTGGGGGAGGGGCAGCACTAGTACTGTGGGGAGGGCAGCACTAGTACTGTGGGGAGGGCGGCACTGGTACTGTAGAGGAGGGCAACACTAGTACTGTAGAGGGAGGAGCAGCACTAAGTACTGGCAGGAGGAGCAGCACTAGTGCTGTAGAGGAGGGGCAGCACTAGTATTGTGTGGAGAGGCAGCACTAGTACTGTAGAAGAGGGAGCAGCACTAGTACTGTAGAGGAGGAGCAGCACTAGTACTTTAGAGAAGGGCGAAGCACTAGTTCTGCAGAGGAGGGCAGCATAGTGCTGTAGAGGAGGGCAGCACTTGTACTGTGGAGGAGGGCAGCACTGGTGCTGTGTGGGGAGGGCGGCACTTGTGCTGTGGGGAGGAGCAGCACACTAAGGTGCTGTGGGGAGGGGGCAGCACTGAGCAGCACTGAGAGAAGGAGCGGCACTAGTGCTGCAGAGGAGGGCGGCACTAGTGCTGTAGAGGAGGAGCGGCACTTGTGCTGTAGAGGAGGGAGCAGCACTAGTGCTGTGGAGGAGCGGCATGTACTGTAGAGGGAGGGAGCCCAGCACTAGTGCTGTAGAGGGAGGGCAGCACTAGTGCACTGTAGAGGAGCGGCACTAGTGCACTGTGGGGAGGGCAGCACTAGTACTGTGGGGGAGGAACCCAGCACTAGTACTGGGGGAGAGACAGCAGCACACTAGTACTGTGGAGGAGGGAGCAGCACTAGTGCACTGTGGAGGAGGGAGCCCCAGCACTAGTACTGTGGAGGAGGAGCAGTACTAATGCTGCTGAGAGGAGCAGCACTAGTGTGCTGTAGAGGAGGGGCGGCACTAGTACTGTGGAGGAGGGAGGCAGCACTAGTACTGTGGGGAGGAGCAGCACTAGTACTGTAGAGGGAGGAGCAGCTTGTACTGTAGAGGAGGGAGCAGCACTAGTACTGTGGGAGGAGCAACACTAGTACTGTGGGGGGAGCAGCACTAGTACTGTGAGAGGAGGGCAGCACTAGTACTGTAGAGGAGGGCAACACTAGTACTGTAGAGGAGGAGCAGCACTAATTGCTGTAGAGGAGGAGCAGCACTAGTACTGTGGGAGGGAGGAGCCAACACACTAGTCTGTGGAGGGCACTAGTGCTGTAGAGGAGGAGCAGCACTAGTGCTGTAGAGGGAGGAGCAGCACTAGTACTGCATGAAGGAGCAGCACTAGTATGCTGTGGGGGAGGAGCAGCACTAGTACTGTAGAGGAGGAGCGGCACTAGTGCTGTGGAGGAGGAGCGGCACTAGTGCTGTGGGGAGGAGCAGCACTAGTGCTGTAGAGGAGGGCAGCACTAGTGCTGTGGGAGGGCAACACTAGGCCTGTGGGAGGAGGAGCAGCACTAGTACTGTAGAGGGAGGAGCAACACACTAGTACTGTGGGGGGAGGGCAACGCACTAATTGCTGTAGAGGAGGAGCAACACTAGTACTGTGGGGAGCAGCACTAGTGCTGTGGGAGGATTTAGCACTGGTACTGTGGGAGGGCACCACTAGTGCTGTAGAGGAGAGCAGCACTAGTGCTGTGGGAGGGCAGCACTAGTGCTGTAGAGGGAGGGAGCAGCACTAATTGCTGTGGGGGAGGAGCAGCACCCAAGTATTGTGGGGAGGAGGGCAGCACTAGTGCTGTGGAGAGGGTGGCACTAGTGCGCACTGTGTAGAGGGAGGAGCAGCACTAGTGCTGTGGGGAGGAGGGAGCAGCACTAGTGCTGTGAGAGAGGGAGGGAGCGAAGCACTAGTGCTGTAGAGGAGGAGCAGCACTAGTGCTGTAGAGGGAGGAGCAGCACTAGTACTGTAGAGGGAGGAACAGCACTAGTACTGTGGGAGGGAGCAGCACTAGTACTGTGGGGAGGAGCAGCCACTAGTGCTGTAGAGGGAGGGCAACTTGCCTAGTGCTGTGGGAGGGCAGCACTAGTACTGTAGAGGGAGCGGCACTAGTACTGTAGAGGGAGGGAGGCAGCACTAGTGCTGTATGGGGGAGGGCAGCACTAGTGCTGTAGAGGGGAGGGGGAGCAGCACTAGTGCTGTGGGGGCAGCACTAGTGCTGTAGAGGGAGGGAGCAGCACTAATTTTTGTAGAGGAGGAGCAGCACTAGTGCCTGTGGGGAGGAGCAGCACTAGTGCTGTAGAGGGGAGGAGCACTGGTTCTGTATGGGGAGGAGCGGCATAGTACTGTGGGAGGGCACTGGTACTGTAGAGGAGGGCGGCACTAGTACTGTAGAGGAGGGGCGGCACTAGTACTGTGGAGGAGGGGCAGCATGTAGTACTGTGGAGAGGGAGGAGCAGCACACTTGCTAGTGCTATAGAGGAGGAGCAGCACTAGTACTGTAGAGGAGGGAGCAGCACTTGGTACTGTAGAGGGAGGAGCAGCACCTGAGTACTGTAGAGGGAGGAGCAGCACTAGTGCTGTGGGGAGGAGCAGCACTAGTACTGTAGAGGAGCAGCACTAGTGCTGTAGAGGAGGAACACTAGTACTGTAGAGGGAGGAGCAGCACTAGTGCTGTAGAGGGAGGAGCGGCACTAGTACTGTGAGAGGAGGAGCAGCACTGAGTACTGTAGAGGAGGGAGCAGCACTAGTGCTGTGAGAGGGAGGGCAGCACTAGTACTGTGGAGGAGCAACACTAGTACTGTAGAGGAGGAGCATCACTTCAGGTACTGTAGAGGAGGGAGCAGCACTAGTACTGTAGAGGGAGGGCGGCACTTTAATTGCTGTAGGAGGGGCAGCACTAGTGCACTGTGAAGAGGAGGAGCGACACTAGTACCGTAGAGGAGGGCGGCACACTAGTACTGTAGAGGAGGAGCAGCACTAATTGTGCTGTAGAGGAGGGCAGCACTAGTACTGTGGGGAGGGCGGCACTAGTGCTGTGGGGAGGAGCAGCACTAGTGCTGTGGGGAGGGCAGCACTAGTGCTGTGGAGGAGGGCAGCACTAGTGCTGTGGGAGGAGCAACTAGTGCTGTAGAGGGAGGAGCACTAGTACAGCAGGGAGGAGCAGCACTAGTGCTGTGGGGGAGGGCAGCACGCTAGTACTGTGGGGGAGGAGCGGCACCTGGTACTGTGGAGGAGGGCAGCACTAGTACTGTGGGGGAGGAGCGGCACTAGTGCTGTGGGGGAGGAGCTGGCACTGAGCCCTTGCTGTGAGAGGAGGAGCAGCACTAGTGCTGTGGGGAGGGCAGCACTAGTGCCTGTGTGGAGAATTTGGCACTAGTGCTGTGGAGGAGCAGCACTAGTGCTGTGGGGAGGAGCAGCACTAGTGCTGTGGAGGAGGGCAGCACTAGTGTGCTGTAGAGGAGGAGCGGCACTAGTGCTGTGGGGAGGAGCAGCACTAGTACTGTAGAGGAGGGAGCAGCACTAGTACTGTAGAGGGAGGGAGCCTGTTGCTGTGGGGAGGAGCAGCACTAGTGCTGTAGAGGAGGGCAGCACTAATTGCTGTGGGGAGGGGCGGCACTAGTGCTGTAGAGGAGGAGCGAAAGCACTAGTGCACAGCAGAGAGGAGGGGCAGCACTAGTGCTGTAGAGGAGGAGCGGCACTAGTGCTGCAACCAGAGGGGTGACACTAATTGCTGCTGTGGAGGGGAGGAGCGGCACTAGTACAGCAGAGGGAGCAGCCTGGAGAGTGATGCTGTAGAGGGAGGGGCAGCACTGGTGCTGTGGGGAGGGGCAGCACTGAGTACTGTGGGGGGAGGGCAGCACTAATTGCTGTAGAGGGCAGCACTAGCAGGTACTGTAGAGGAGGAGCAACACTAGTACTGTGGGGAGGAGTAGCACTAATAGTGCTGTAGAGGGGAGGGAGCAGCACTAATTGCTGTAGAGGGAGGAGCAGCACTAGTGGTACTGTGGGGAGGGGCGGCACTAGTACTTGGGGGAGGAGCAGCACTTAGTGCTGTGGAGGGAGGGAGCGACACTAGTGCTGTGGGAGAGGCGGCACTAGTGCTGTGGAGGAGGAGCAGCACTAGTACTGTAGAGGAGGAGCAGCACTGGTGCTGGCAGGGAGGAGCAGCACTAATTGCTGTAGAGGAGGGCAACACTAGTACTGTAGAGGAGGAGCCCAGCACTAATTACTGTGTAGAGGGAGGGCCAGCACTAGTGCTGTGGGGAGGGAGCACT